GGGGAGAATCGATATTCTGAAAATGGGTGTCAATGAAACATTTTATATGAAATAAAGTAAATGTAATAGATTAGAAATGAACATTTTAATCACATTGTACAATATTATAAAAACAATATCTTATACAAATATGCCCCAAGTGTTCTTTTGCTGGCTAATAAAAGAGCAGTACCATCTAATTTACTACCTTGGCTCAATTTCAATATTTATTTCCTGATGGTTTCGTAGGCAAACTTTCCTATGAACATCAGACATCTAGAAACTACTCAACCATCAACCTGAGAAGATAGAACTAAAGATGAGAACTATAAATAAGACTGACAATACAGATAAAACAAAAACATATCATTTAATCAGATGGAAGGTGGTGGTTTTCTTTCTGTTTAATCACAAAATAATTCTCAAAATTGTAAGAGTAAGTTACTACATAGCTATAGGCAGAGATATTAATAATTAAGTGAGAGCTTAACTGTAACAAAAGGACATGAATCCTCCCAATTATTTTCTCTTTCGGTAAATAATAAATTCATGCAATATTATATCTGCTGACACGAAAATAACATGAATAAAGAAATTGCAAGGAAATCTATGTACAATTGAATACCAACAAAGCTAAAAATGAATAACACAACTATCTTCTATTTTGGCAAGATTCATCCTTGTACTCTCCAAAGTTTTGTTTAATACATGAATTAAAATGTTTTTATCATCCTTAGGTCATCCCAGCCATGAGTAATACATTTACTCAGTTATACTGAGAAGGAACGTCCACTATTTGGCAAATTATAAGAGATGAAACATGATTGACAAGATGCAACTTAACTAGCCAATTTCTAATTATAAATCCATGAACGTGGCTGTGGTTCCATCTGACTTTAAATTAATTAATGGTAGAGTAACACAACCTTAGGAGAGAGCTGTTAAAAGTAATTTTTTTAACATATTATTTACTTGACATTTTAGTACATGAATTTTCATGTACATACCAGAAATATTACTCCCACTAATATTGTGAAACTTTTTAACTACTAATTACCTTTTACCCTTATGATGACATTCAAGATATTGAAATCATGCATGAAATGTACTGACAATACAGTCAAGTAGCTTTATTAAGTACAAATTTATGGATAGATCACACAGACATCCACAATATTGAACTTCAAGTTTATTGGCAAAATTATTGTTTACTGCAAGTGAATTTTCAAAACATTACGGGCAAAGCCAACTGGCATAAGAAAATTCATCACACCACAACTCCCAAAAATTAAAGAAAAATTTGCACATACATTTCTTGTCCCAAATGATCTATCCCGAAAAGTTTTCTTTTGTAACCGCTGCAACATTTTTCCTACAAATATTAAGTACATGTTGTAGCAAAAGAATGCAAGGGAAAAAATAGCAAGACATGCACTTGTATTGAGCAAAGCTATTTGCAAAACGTTATGCAATATCATTTCCCTACCCAAGAACAAAGCAAAAGCAACAGGCAAAAAGTGTTGGAACATCAAAGTCCAATCCCTTGCTACATTGTTAAACAGATTAATTTCTTTACACACCAGATACATAGCATAAGTGCTACAAACACTGGTATAAAATAAGAGAACTACAAAATGTTTCATGTTCTGCCTTGTTATACATGTGCCTAAAAAGAAACAATGATGATCTCGTTCTACCACACATTTGTTGCATACAGGACAATGATAGCAACTTTGCGATGACCGCTGACAGCACTTTGGGCAATACCAAACAGTATTTGTGTCTACGTTAAAATCCTCTTCAACACTGCTCACACTATTGTGATCATTTTTTTTTTGTAGTTTTGTTAAGAATTGTTCATTCATATGGAGGCTTTCATAACTGAGGGCAGGAGAGCTGTCGATCCATGGTCTTGTTTCATTACTTAACAAGTTAACGGTAACAGTTTCTTTGTCTCCACCAGTATACTGTGATGAAATGCCACCACTATTTGTGCAACTGGATGTTACACACACAACAGTGATCCAGTTTATGTATATTTGAAATGACAGAAATAAGAAGAAGAAATTATTTTGTTGGGAATCATGTAGGATGCCCAAGCACGCATACAAGACCCAAAAGGAGTATACAAGAGTAATGAAAGGTATAGCTTTGAATATTTTGAGAAGCAATTGATTCATCATTGATTGTAGAGAGTGGTTTCACCCAGGGATGCGATTACTCCTAATGTGCATCTGAAAACAGTGCGTTCCTTGCTGTCAAATTGCCAATAGCAACTGCAGCACCCTGAAAATATATGAAATACAAGAAATAAACACAAAAAAGCGAATAAAATAGAAATACACGTGTGTTCTGAACTTCACTCCTTTTTGTAGAAGGTGATAATTTTAAACTAATCGACAGATCTAGCCCGTCTCTGGCGCTGGCACTGTAGTGCTCCAACGTACCTATCTATTCTGAACCGTATTCACTGTATTATCTTCTCTTATATTTTAGTTTCGCCACAGCACGCGTCTGACAGCCAGATACATGATACAAGAAGCGGATTTTTTTGTATAAGTGTATATGCAGGCTTCGTAGTACGAAGTTCGTACTTTGGCAACAGTCAGCTGTGACCGTGTGTCGCAGTCTCGCATTGACTTCACTGACATGACCAGCACATAAAGAGTTCTCTCTGGCGTGGAGGAGGCCCCTGCTGGACGACAGTGGTTCTATATTTCGATTTTTTAAAGTGGCGCATAACATAATCAGTTCTTACACTATCATCTAATCGAGTGCTTTAACGCCATCGCGATTACGTCACTTAGGTGACGTTCAAGCTTCCAATTGGATGACTCCGTCAACAGCTCATTTACGTCATGCGTCACGTTATAACAAACGAAGTATATATAAACTCTCTGCATTGCCCCATGTGTTCTAGATTGCGAAGCTTGTTTCACAAGCGGAGCAAACTGTCAACGACAAACTGCCTCACGCTTTATAAAGCAACTGTTAGCCCGTAGCTGGACTATGCATGTCCCAGTTGGGCAATTGCAGCAAATACACATTTGAATAAACTGGAAGTAGTACAAAACGAATGTCTCTAGGCTGCCCTCTGCATCCCTTGCTACATTCCCTTTAAAAATGTACATCGCGATTTATCAATGCGTTGCTGATTGATCATATCAGAAATATTGTGTCAATTTTTTTTGTAAAAGTAGCCGACTCGGAAAACCCTCTCATTTCCAAGATCACCTCATACCAACCCGATCAACAGGTTAAGTACCGGCGACCAAAGTACTTCCTGGAGTAAAAGTAATCTAAAACAGACAAATGAAACTCGAAACATAAACTTAACAATTCTATATGATTCTACACACGTAATGCGCGAGCTAGTTGGCTAAAGTCATTTTTGACCTTCTGTTTTTCATGTCGCAGGATTGGTACGCATTTCCATGCGTTCACAAAACTGCACAAAGAAGACTCTGCATGTGTTCTTAGTTTCACCAATTCCCACCAGGGAAGCACAGAGTATTATGAGCCCCACTCTCTGATACCTAGTAATTCTCTGTAATTCTCTACATGTTCTTTACTCTAATATGTCATAGTATGTAATAGATACATTACATGGAATAATCAGAATATACATCTATAATATAGCATGAATATAAATTATAGCAGATGCTCTACTCTCTGATCTGTCTGCAATGCTATCTGAATGCTACGGCAGAGTTAATGTATATAGATGAAGATCGCTGAGGGGGAGAGACCTTAAAAGATTCATTAGACCCGATTAGACCTATGTTTATTATAGAAGTATCGCGATGTAAGAAATTTGCATTATGAGTAGTATAGTCTAAAAGAGCCGTAGTGAAATTATTGACAAACTTTCTTAAACCAGCTTATAATCGTATTATGCTTTTTAACTTCCAGTTCCTCCATGTAAATTTGTAAACAAATGGTAGCCTATCGGTTGAATGGTCCAGCGACTCTTGTATGGGAGGAAAAAACAATACAGACATTTGACCCATAAGATTTCATGTCATGTCAGCTGGTCGTGAACTGTTTACACTGTTCATGATAGAGTACCCCTTTTCGACAATAAATGTGTGACGCAGTGCGAGTAATAGCAATTATTTGCATATATGTTAAGAATTGAATAATTTTGCTGCTGAAATCATAAGGAATGCGCGGTAGAACCGAAAAGAGAGTATGTAAAAAGTCAGAAACCGATTCTGAAATTACAGGTAATGAATTTTCACCTCATAACCCTAAAGTTCATTTAGTTCATTAAAAACGATAGGAACATATTCAAGAATAGTTTAACGGTTGGTTAAGGTTTTTAGAGAATTTGATTAGCATTTCAGATCTATGCTCATTTATGTGACCTAAGGACTAATACTTTTGGGATCGAACATAGAGTCTTAAAGAGGCATGCATAAATTATAGCTTTTGCTCTATCTGTTGGGTTCCTTCTTGTGATCCCCTACTCTGAAGATGTTTATTCTGTTGTCTAATTATAATTTTATGTTACAGTGTGTGATGTTTGTGGTCAGAATCATAGCACTGAATCATGCATTTTTATTAGTGCTCGGCCTTGTACAGTGAGTATTGTTTGACTTGTTAATAATAATAGATAAGATAATGATAAATTTATTTAAACTGCAGTTGAGTATAACCCGGTGGCAGCTAATTACATAAAAAAGGCCATATAACTAACAAAAATTATATAATAATAAAAATAGTAAAACAATAATAATAATATAAAAACTGACTGATTCATAAAACATTAAGTTACATGATAGAGTGTACATTATGTATATACTCTACCCTTAAAGACATATAATTATACATTTAAATTTAGTAAAAAATATTTGTTTTAGGTGGAGGATGCTGTTACACCCACGCACGCCCGATTAACTCTTCCAGCCAATTTGGCAGTGAAGGACTTGGCTGATGGTTCTACAACAGTTGTTACAAAGGCTAAATTTGCTAGAGGGACTCGATTTGGTCCATTTATAGCACCACTCACTTCAATTTTGCCTCCAGAAGTTAATTTTCCTCTGAAAGTAAGTTTCAAGAAATGAGATAGAATTAATGTGAAGTTTTCTGCATCATGCTGTTGTGTCAGCTTGATGTTGAGGTTACGCCTTCCACCACAGCCATAGTTTTAATATATTGATTATTTAATCATATCTCTAGGCCATTTTCATAATAGTGATTTGGTTGTATTAATCTTTTTTGTGCTTTTAAAAAGGGGTGTAAAACATATATATTTTCTTTTAACTATTGCTTCTGTTGTTTTCTAAAGACAAATTATGTATGGTTTATCTGTGGTCTTGGTTTTTATTTGAAAACTAATATGATGGAAAAAAATTTGAAAAATAATTCTTTGTATGCAATTCTTTTTCTACATCTACACAACTCTCTCAATTCCTTCTGCACTTAATTGCATTGATAATAATATATTATGCAAATTCAGAATTCAATGATTAGGATTCTTCATCTATCTTCTTGGTTCCTCAATCTGTATAAAATTTTGCCAGTAATAATAACCTGCCCATTGTTGGAAAAGCATATTCAATATAATTTTTTTCGCGATTCATGTGATTGCAGTCAGAAATTTGGTACTTTTAGAAATGTTTCTGCATTTGTGGTATGGGAATTAATCAGTTAATTTTGTGATGTAGGATAAAACGCTTCTCCCTACCATTGCCTTAGCTTTAAAATAGTATTAAAATTCAGTTTTTTTTAATTGATTACTGTTAAGGAAAAGCATATTGTGAAAGTAATTTTGTTTACAAAATGTTGGTGTATCTAATCATGCTTCTTAAAAATGTTTCACTTATATACATATATTTGTGCATTTTTCTTTTATTTCTAGATATTTGGTGATTCAGAAGAAGATACTCTGTATCTTGATACACGAAATGAAGATGATTGTAATTGGATGTGTCTTGTAGGTTCAGTCTCCTCATCTAATGATGCCCAAAATCTTCTCTGTTATCAGGTTTGAAATGTTTGTTTTTATTTATTTTCTTTTTAAATTTTTTTAAATTTAGTACATAGTTGCTTTTTTCCTTTTGATGTAAGAGGAGTTTTACCAAATTTTATATTTCTAGTTTCTTCGGTTGTTGCCTGTTAATGCTTCTATTTTTTAGTTGTGTTTCTAACTCTTTAACATTTAAAACCACTTCATTGCCCACTTAATATAAAGCACTCATATTATTTCATTTAAAAGCTTGTTTGAATCTTTTGTTAAAAAAGAAAATGAAATGAACCCTGATGTAAACAACAGGCTAGTTATTTACAGTCTAAGAAATTTGAAAGAAAGGAAAAATAATTCATTCTATATCAGTCAAATAGATGGAATCAGTTTACAGTTAATCTAATAAACACTGATAAATTCATTTACATAAAGGAATACTTAAACAAATAATTATATATCTTTGATATGTGACTCTGAAAATGTCAGGTTAATGTTTAACATGGCAGTAATTTTTGTGAATTTATTATTAATTGATGTCTTTTTTGCTGTCAAGTAATGTTATCACCTATTTTTACTTTCTTGTATTTATAGCTAGAACCGGAAGCCTGACATGCATTTTATGAAAAATAGGAAGGCAAATAGGCAATTATTTTTACTAAAATAGGCATGTAATAGGGCATTTATTGTAGCTAAAGTAGGGCCAGAAAAAGGCATGTAAGCCATGAAAAATCACTGTAAAAAAATAATTCTCATTTAGGAACAATAAGAATGTATGGGATCTTCTAAGCATGGTGTGACGCTGATGAGTAGGGGATGGGTTTTGTGACTTAAAATATTGTTAAAAATGATCTCTAAAGTTCTTTTAAAATGTTTTAAAAATGCCCTAAAAGCAAAGAAAAATAACATAAGAAATTGATCAAAACCTGTTCAGATGAACAACTCAAGCAGCTTACTGATGTAATTAAGGCTTCTTCCTTTTATTCATGTAAACCCATCTTGCAAACTTTCGGTTTGGGCTGTTTTTTACTAGGAAATCTCTGTCTTTATTTATTGCAAAATTGATCGAACTGACAATGGTCCTGATAGGTGACACAGGAAGTTTAGTTTATGTACTCACAATTATGTACATTACAATTTGTGAACAAAAAAATCGAATAGGCTCAGGAATTTGTAGAGAACTTTCATTGCATCTCATAAATATTATTTCGAGCAAGTACAATTAAATTGATATTAAAATCAATGAAATCAAAGAAAAATGCTTTAAAAATTGTGGGAAAAGGTTAAAAATGACTTTTTAGATGAAATTGACAAAAAATGCAAACACACACAAAAAATGGATGATATCCTTTTTGTCATAATATACATTAATCTCTATACTAAATGGCATTGTTCTAAAGTAAAAAGAAAAATACAAACAACGATGTGTCTTTAAAATCTGCCTCCTACTGATGGGCTTTGGTTATGTTCTGAGTCAGAGCACATATGACATTTCATTGTGCTCTTGGTATACTCTTGTTCAAGTGTTCTTGGTGTACTGTTGCAAAGAACTTGCTTCTTTGCAGAAATACAATGTCTTCCACATCTGGATAGAAACAACAAGGAACTTTGGGAACCAAACCTATAATTACAGGGGATGATTTCAACATTAGATTCACTACCAGATTCCACAGATCAGACACTTGATTTCCAACTGATCCATCTTTTCTCTGAATTGACAACAAGTATACATTCTTAATGCACCAACTCTCAGAATGTTGATAAAGTTTAGTAAAATATACCCATTTTTTGGACCAAATCTGCCTTGGGAAATGAAACAATCTGCAAGATCCTCCTGTCCCTTCTGAACATTGCAACAGGAATTGAGATTAGGTTGTGGTATTTGTATAAATTTGTTTCCTTTCTGCCTGTATCATTTGGCTTGATATAGAAGATGTTCATCATTTCTTGTTGCCAAAAATATTAGGTTGTAGTCTTTCCATTTCACAGAAAATTTTTTTCAATTATTGAACATTTTTTAAGAAATTTATTCTGCTCTTAAGAAGTTTATTTTTTCAATTTTATCACTTGAAACCAAGTTTTCGTTATCATGAAGGTATGAGGGTAAGGCTGCTGAAGGTATGGAGGGCTTTTGATAAATTATCTATCAGCATGAATGAAATTTGATAATAAAATTCACCTTATTACTTTTCAATGTAGTTCTCCATGACTGTAACCCACTTAGTCCATTCAGTGTCCAGTGATTTGAATACCCTCATAATAGAAGGAAACATCTTGACTGTTCAAATACCCAATTACAGCTTCCTTAACTGCTTTATTGTCAGGAAATGGTTGGGCACATGGAAATGTTTTCATGTTTCGAAACAGGAAGATTTCACTGGGAGGTGGATCTGGACTGAATGGTGGATGATTAACTGCATGACGTTTGCATGACGTGTGCAGGCACTTTGTTGAGGAGCAACAGCAGACAATTTTCTGTGGTTCTATTTGACAGAATCAAGTAAAGTTCTTATAGTCGAAGAATAGTTGTCTCCAGTGATGGTTATCTTGCATGTCATGAATTCTACAAGCTGAACATCTGCGTTCCAAAAACCGTGGCCATGAACTCTCCGGCTGAGTTTTGCACACATTTTTGGGTGTTGGAGTCCCCTTGTGCCTCCATTGCATGGACTCTTGCTTGGTTTTAGGATCACAATGGTGAACCTGTTTTCATACCCTGTTGTAATTTATGAATAAAAGTTATCTGGATATTATATAAGTAAGTTCAAATTCTCTTTGCAACATTGCTAGTGAAATGCTTTCGACACGAGAGTCAAGACATTCTTCAGTTGGTCTGAGAGTCCCGATGCTAGAGAGTCAAGTTCATGTGCAATAATACTGACCTTAACACAACGATCTTCAAAAATTATTATCTCCACTTTTTGGTACATTTTCTTTGAATGTTCTTCCACAGGCTGCCCTGAATGTGGGACATCTTCAATCAATTCTCTCCCCCTCTTAAATTGCTTGGCCCAAAATTTTACTTTAAAGTATGAAGGTGCATCTTCACCATATACAACATCCAACCTCTTGTGGATTTCCTTTTGCTGCTTCTCTTCCTTTGTTAGGAATTTTATTACTGAACTATCTTCGAAATCTCTCATTTTCTCTGTTGACCCTCATGGCTCTGCACTTGCGAACTTCTCAAATCAAGAGTGTTCGACCGACTAATTTGTAACCGAGGCCGAAACATACCAAGACATGTCCCAACCATGCTTGTGCACGCTCAGTTTTCCAACAATAACTTATAAAAACAGAGGTAAGTAACTTATTCAATGTCCCTTGTACATTTTTAGACATATGTCTTTAAATTCCATGGTGGTAGCATATATCTTGTGGTAATCCATAATATGGTAGAGGAAATAATCGTCCACAAAAGGTTTAATAATTTTTATTAATTATTACCCAGAGTTAACTTTCGGGAAACACTTTTCCCATCCTCAGTGGGTCTTTAGCAAGGAGGAGAAAATTGAAATATTAACACAAATTGAAACAAAACAAACAAACAAACAAATAATATCAAATAAATAAAATTGAAAATACTTACTGCCTGGCAGTAAGTATTTTCAATTTTATTTATTTGATATTATTTGTTTGTTTGTTCCACTTAATTCACTGTATTTCTTTTGTTGTACTTCCTTTACCATATGATTAATGTTTTTGTTTTAATTGTTAATTGAAATGCAACTTGATGACCAATGTAATACACATGTTCTTGTTAGAATGTAATTTTTAAAATAATATCAGTTTTTATGTCTCTATGAAAAAGAAAATAATGGTTATAGTTTTAATTTTTTAAAGACTGGAATTTATTTGTACTCACCTGGTTTGCCACTAACAGAATATCATCAACTCATTTTGACAAAAGAATTTTTCATGTGAGATGCAACTGTTGCTACTGCCAGGGAATTTGTAGGATGCGAATTCCAATGGTGATGGATTCTCAGCACTAGCTAGATGCCTGGTCAAGTGCGGGGAGAATTCTAGTGATTGGCTGTTCTATTAAGTAGTTTTCTGTGCTTTCTCTGGTCAGTGCCAGGCAATTGTCAGCTCAGAACCTTAACAAATAGGCCACAGGCTGCGTGCGATAATTTCTTCATCTTATTTCTCCCCTCTCTTTTTACACACTAACTTACACTGAGGATGAAGCAAAAAAGACACAGGTCATGCCCACCCAACCCTCGGGAGAGGGGAGGGCATGACCTTCCCCAGCAAAATTCAATGTAGTAGGGTGGAAAATTGTAAGAATCTGTGCACAATCATTTGAATATTAGTGTGGTGGTTTCTATTTGTCTCTCTTAAAAAGTCGTTTAAGTCTTCCTCCCACTATCTGTATAGCCTGTAACTTTTCTATTTCAGTCATCTGCAGTTAATATAACATCTAATTCTTCATCAGTGATTGAACCAAACATATCTGGAATTTCTTCCATACTTAAAAATATTTTTAAGAAATTCCGCTGGGAGAGATCTAAATTGACCATTTGAATGTAAGCAAATTGCACAAACATGAAAGTAAATTTTCTTGAAATAATAATTGTTATCTCTCTGACAAAATGGTATTAGTATATCTTGAATTGAGTTAGTAGCAGTGCGGTTTAATGACTTTTTTACCAACTTGACTGGTGTAATTTATTTACAATAATACGTTCCTTTGGAAAATAATTGAAATTCTCTTCAAGTTCTAGATGCAAAAAATTTTCTAGCTTTCAAGATTTGTCAGACAGCTATTGTACCACTGGATCACAGTTACTTAATCAATATTTGCTAATCTTCCCATCTAACTGATTTTTAACCGTCTACAAGAATTCATACTGAACAGCATTATAGAAGATTAAGTGTTCAGAAATGGGAACAAAAGGGGTTAATTGTTTGAATTATTGCTACCTTTTCCTGAGATATAGGATTGAATAATATTTTTAATATTCACATAAATCTTATAATTTAGGTATTCACTCTTACAGTATGTAACTGTTGTCAAAATTTCATTTTGCAGGTACATGATAAGATTTTTTTTAGTTTACTGCATGACGTTGAACCTGGGGAAGAACTGAGAGTGTGGTATGCTCCTTTCTATGGTATCAAAATGGGTATTTCTCCAGGAAGACTGGCCTCTAATTCATCAGCAGCATCAGAGGTTTGTATGAATAAGTTATGATTTGGAGTGAAATCTAATTATTAGATACGTATGGGTGAAATTTGAATGGGTGAAAACCAGAAATGACATTTTATAAATCCTGAAAAAAACATGTATATTTTAGGCTATGTTTCAGTAGGAATGTATTTTCTTGGTTTTAATGAACAATTGAAATGCCGTGATTTTAATGATGAAACAAAGCACCGCGACTTTACAGTGATATTGACTTAAATTAAAAGATTTCTCAGAATACTAAGAATGTTTTTTTCTCTTGATAAACTTGGTTGTTTCCAAGGTTAAAAACAATATTTTTTTTGTGCATAAAGGCATACATATGATACACGGCGCATAACAGGGGGGATGAATTTGCAATGTTCCCTACTTCTGGTCAAAAAAGTTAACTTACAAAACTATGAATCTGATTCCCTTGCTTGATACGGTTGTTTGTTTTCCTTACCAGCCAGGATTAGGCTTTGGTCAATCTTTCTTTTCTGTGATAATCTTTTCCATTTTGTGATAATCCTTCTGCTGTGTCTTTAAAGATCTGCTGTGAATTAAAGATCTCATCCATAAATGAATGTGAATGTGAGTACAATGAATGAGTGTTTTTTTAAATATTTTTAGAAATAAATATATAACTTTGAAAGTGTTCTCTTGACAAACTCCTGTGTTAGTTACTCATTTAAAATCCTAGTGTTAATAATGTATTAAAATTTTTCTCATGAATGAAATATATCAAAAACGAAATATCTATCAACAAAAATAGTGACATTATTAGTGAATTTACTTGTAGGTAGGTCTACTACCAATTCAAAGTGTAATAAGTATGGCTCAAAAATTCAATAATATAAATACCACAATTTAAGGGATTAGAAATGTATTTCATTGTTTATTGCATCAATTATTATTTAGAAACTTCTAAAAGTTATACTTAAAGGTAGAAGGATTTTAATAAAATCAGTCAAGTTCATTCTTACTTGACACAGACTTTCTCTGGTTGATTTATTTCTTCCAACATAAATAAATAAATAAAAAAAACAAACACTATTGAATAAATTGAAACTGAAAAAAATACAATGTACATAAATGCTTGTCTAATACATCAAAGTTTTATAGTTTTACATTGCAGTTCACAGATCTGGGTAGCTCGTAGGTTAGTTTTCAGGGTAAACAAAGTTAATTACCTTTCATATACATCCAGGTTTCATCTGCAAATACAACCATTATTGAGAAGTGGTATCGCCCACTACTTCTAATACACAGTTCGAATAGAGATGCCAAGATCAATAGAAAATACCATACAAACGTACTTGTTAAATATTAGTCCTACAATAAATTATAAATAACTGATTCACAAAATATCAAATAATCTCAACAATAATGAAATGATGTGATCAGATATCAGATGATGGGATCAATAATCATGGGAGAAGAGCAAAGTGAAAGGGTAGAAGCACTAAAGATGCTATCTTTCCATTACAGATGTTAATAGACAAAAGAAAAGAAAGGAATCTACTAATTTTTGTAATATTTATTGATTATGAAAAGGCTTATGTCAAAGTTAATAGACAGACACTCTGAGAAATACTAGAAGAGGAGAAAGTTTCAAATCGGTTGCTCAATGCAATACAAAGTCTCTACAACTCAAGAATTAAAGTGGTAAGAAACAAAAAATCAGTAGCAATAACAACCAACAGTGGCTGAAGACAAGGATGTGGATCATCACCCATCCTCTTCAACATATATATCAACCATATTATAACCACTTAGTGAGAAACTGGAGAAGGAAAGTTAAACAAGGAATACAGATCACAAAAGACAAGAAGACAGATACGATCTTGTACGCTGATGACCAAACTAACTTAATGGATTCTGAAGATAATTTACAAAGAGCAGTTTTTGAATTGACAAAAGTGGCCCCAGAATATTCCATGAAGTTAGCAGTTCTGGAAACAAAAATTATGGCAGTACAAGGCAAGGAACATAGAAGAACAAAAATTGTAATAAATGAGAAATGAGTGGAACCAGTAAATCAATTTTCATACCTCAGAAATACCTTAAGTGTATACAACCTAACTCAGGAAGATATAGAAAACAAATTTATTAACTACAATAGAATATGTAGAACAAGTAAGAGACACTTTTGCAGAGACATGGACTTAAAAACAAAACTGAAACTCCACAATACAGCTGCTAAACCTAGAATCATGTATGGCTCTAAAAGATGGGAAATTACTACATGTGGCACATATGAGAAAACTAAGGCACCTAATGGGAATCACAAGGAGAGGCAGACTGAGAAATAAAGACATCAGAAAGAAATTGGAAACCAAATGTTTAGTGGATGAGATAGAACAGTTTCAAAGGAGAGGGAAAGATCATTAACAGAGATTGAACAACAGCAGATTTCCAAAATTAATTTGGAAGTACCAACCAATAGGAATCAGAAAAATGACACAGACCACTAAAGAGGGGGCAACAGCAGAAACACTTGGAAGACTAATAAGGCTTGGAATACTGTAATAAACAAATAGAAACAGGTTGTAAAGCCTAACAAATGATTAGACATTTCTATGGATAATCTGATCTGAAAATCGTGTAAATTTTGTTTGCATTTGCTTTCTTAGTAAATGTGTTAATTCCAGTGATAGGGAATATTCTTTTGCATTTCTTTTTGAGTAAGCTGGAGGATTTTCCCCCTTTCTTTGTTTTGCATCTGGTTATGATAATTTTAACTGAGATAATATACCTAGAAATAGACGATAACTTTGGAAAATATTATATCCATTAGTACTTCATGTTAATGAACATTGGCAACAGTGCCATTTAACATCTCCGTTTAATTAAGGAAAGTTCAGTTAAAACTAGTTAAAAACATTTAAAGTATTTAGAACTGCCACCACAAATAATTTTGCCACTCAAAATGTTACAAATGTGTCATGAGTCCTTTCATTCACTAATTGTTTCAATAACCCCGCAGAGTTAATTTACAATGCCATTTTGGTGCTAACTTTGAATGTAAGTGAATTGTACATGAGAATAAGTCTAGATGTACTAACCTGATCCATTTCTATTTTTAACGTAACTCGGTGTAATAAAATGGAACTGGTAATAAAATCATTGCATAAACTGAAAAATAAATTAATTGAACCCTAAACTAAAATTAATGAAATCTAAATAATTAAATAATAAAGAAAATACCAGCTGATATAAATATTATGCGATTAACAAGTTTCAATCAAAAGGAAATTAAGTATTATGTTATAAAATAGGTAAAGCAAACAACTAAAGATGAAATTGTAAATAATATCCAATAACCAATATTCACTACTGAAATGCATTAAATTATCTCTTTAAGTTAGTTTAATTAAAATACATAGTCTATTAAAAAAATGCACGGACTGTTTGAACTACGCGGCTCCAGTTGATTCCAGGGAAATACTCTCGATATCATGAGGTTTGCACATATCTGCTGATTATGAAACCATTTCCCGTCTGTTGATATCTTCATTTGTTTATTAGCTATGTGGTTTTTAGTGAAGTACGCTTTTTTTTGTTTGGTGGATTTCAGAATGAATGACTTGAAGGGCAACGACTAGCTGTAAAATGTGTTAAACTGGAAAAATCTGCGCCGGAAACGGTTTTTATGTTTAATACGACTTATGGTGATGTTGCTCTACAGTGTATGACATGTTTCAAGTGGCATAAATGTTTCAAAGGCGGTCGACAGTCCAATGAAGATGAGGAACACGTCAATTGGGGATCCACATGTTGACAAAATCTCTACCTCGGCAGCTTACTGAAGAGTGTGGGTTATAAATTGGATCTTGTCATGAGATTTTGACTGAGAAATTGAAGATGCGCTTCATTGCTGGCAAAATTTGTGCCATGCCTGACAGAGGAACCAAATGCCCCACATGTCCATTTTTGTGAGGAACTGCTTGATCGTTCAGAAGAAGATAAAAACCTATTTTTAAGGATCATAACTGGTGATGAATCATGGGTTTATGATTATGACTTTGAAACAAATGTCCAATCATCTCAGTGAGTGGGTGAAATGTCTCCTTGTCCATAAAAAGCTTGCCAAGTGTGGTTCAGGATCAAGGTGATGCGGATAGTTTTTTTAATGCTAAAGGATCTTGTTTACCACGAGTATCTCCCCGAAGGCTCCACAGTGAACCAAAATTACTGTATTGAAGTTCTGAAATGTCTGAGGGATGCCATCCATTGCAGAAGGCAATACATGTGGAGGAGTGATGACTGATTTATCCATCATGACAACGCACCAGCCCATTCAGTTCTCTCAACTCATGAGTTTTTGGCCAAACACTGTTCTTCGTCACCCTCCCTACTCACCTGACCATGCTCCTTGTGACTTTTTCTTGTTCTCCAAACTCAAAAGACCCCTGAAAGACAGAAGACAGAAAGAGACATGATTCCGGAGATTATGGCAAATGCGACGAAGGAGCTGAAGGACGTTACAAAAGAACTGGACTGTTTCAAGAAGTGGAAATACCATTGGGATAAGTGTGTGCATTGGGGAGGAGAGTCCTTTGAAAGGGACCCAGACATCTAACTTATAAATATAGTACATTTTGTTTTATGACGTCAGTCCATGTATTTTTTGAACAGCCCTCGTATGTATAAACAGTACACAACTAATTAATTACAATACAAAAGGTCTGCAACAATATTAAATAGATCAATCAAAAAATTATAGAAAGCAGTGACACAACACAAAGAAAATTAATACTTAACAAACCATTTAAACTATATTAACTAAATATCTTCAAATAAACTTAACTACAAATCAAAAAGCTCTACAAGATATAATATAACTAAAATAAAATAAATGTAAAATTATAAAATAACAGTATAAGACACTCAAAGTAAAGGTAAACGATCACAATCCAGATGCATGATTTAAAGTTGGCAGACTCTCTGGAAGTTGTCATTTTTTAGTTGTAAAAATGAATCAGTATTGTGTCACTTTTTGTATTATTACAATATACGTTGGGTATGTCTGGTGATGGTGGCAATGACAATTGCCAATACAAAAAGAAATGAATATTCAGATTCTTGTGCACATTATTGCTCGTGATTACATATGCCGATGTGGCAGTGGTGTTCTTTGTAAGTTGCATTCAAGTTTCCTTTTTAAAGTGTCCAGAACAGTATACAGGTGCATGGAGATTAAAGATTATTTTATGTAAGATTATATTTGGTTGTGGAAAAGTTCATATAAATCTGAGTTTTCACTACAAGCCAAATATGTTGTGTGTGCAACAAAAACCTGTTGTAAATTAATCAAAATATATTACAGTGGAACCTACTCTAAGCCGCCATAATGGTTTCTGCAAAAATGGCTGTAAACGTGGCTGCTGAACCCTGCTGTATTGTTGAGTTTTTCTACACACTGTAGTCGTTTGAGTTGGAAAGGTCTCTTTCTGTTTTAATGATGCATTAAAATATGGGAAAAATCACCATTGTGAATACATATATGCAATGATTTAAATATTGACACTGGAGACTGACTATATTCTCTTATAACAGGACTTTCTGGAAAGGGGTTTCTGCTGTAATAATATTTAGACATGAATTCAACTCACTGTGCTTTTTTCACATTTCAACTTTGGACTGTTAGTCATGCAAATTTTCATCTCTTTTTGGATGCACAAATTTCAAAACTTTGTTACTATTCTAAGTAATGTATAATGCGGATGTTTTTTTCCTTATTAAATTATTTATTTGTTATGGCAGCATTGAAGCTTCCCATTGAAGTCAATGCCACAGCCATATGCCCAGTTAATTTTAATGAACTCAATTCACAAATTTTTGATTACAGTAGTTGCATACTATTGCATGGAGGAAACCACTGATATCAAAATGAACTACTCATTAATATTTCTATATTTAAACAGATGTGACAATGCAAGTTGATTATACTTCTAGAGATTTGTGAACAGAGCTGTGGGGGCAAGTGGGTTGAGCAGAAGGGAGAGGCTTTTGGGGCTGTTGAATTGATAAATGCAATAAATAAATGAGCATTGCCAGATATTAGTTATCAAAACTGACTATGTTCTTTTTACTTTAATAATTCTAATTATTGGCACTTCCTCAGTTTTAGTCTTACAACCATTTCACAATTTGCTTGTTATTTTTGAACATTTTTCATCTTGTTTAAAGTTGTTATTTTAATGAGAAAAAATTAAATATATTATCTTCATGTTTGTTTGATGTTGAAGGCTCTGGAAATGTCAGAAGAGTTAACAAAAATTGAAGAAATTGTAACATGGGAAGCTGACACCACAACAGTTGATATTTTGCCTGGTGAGGAAGAATCACTGAGTAAAACTCATTCAAGGGATGAAAAAAAGCATCATTTTAATGATGGAGTTCAGGAACAGAGAAAAATGCTGATAGATGGTGAGTGTCTAGAAATAAAATTAAAAAAAAAAGGGGGGGGGAAGATGAGGCTTGAAGAATTTTAAAAAATCAGGAAGGCTTACCTCTTGCAGTTTTACCATATAATTGCAAAAAATTGGCATAATGGTGTGATGTGTCACCCTTCATTGGATAATATTTATAACATGGTATGTTGCTGGTTGATGCGTTTCAATTTTATCTTGTACACTTCAATAAAAAATTAAAACTATGTAATTTGTAGTCTTTTTCAAAGTAATTATAAAACTATTATTCTTACTTATATTTACTAGTTCAAATTTTTTGTTTGAAAAATATTAAATTGCATTTAAAGCACATGTACTCCCCTATATGAGAAAATAACTAATGGTGCTGCATAATGGCACAGACTTTCATGGATTAGTTTTCTATTTCCTTTGGTATTGGCTAGCTATTCACACCTGCCACATACTCTTGCCTGCTGCCATCTGCCATCTGCTATCTGCTGCCGCCCTGTGTACAACCTTATAATATTTTCTTAATTTTTCGGTTTCCTAATAGTAGATTGAAAATATTACTTTAAGAATAAGTACCCTCGAATCTGGGTCATCAACTGGCAGGCGGACTTGAATGTGCAGCAAGGATTGAAGGTTTCAGTGTTTGTTTCTGACATCAAAATAACTGTTACCATGTTGCCTCAATGGCTGTCCAAATAGTTTTGTTGAAGTGATGTCTCTAAATTGCCGTTTCATTTTTATTTTCTCCAGAAAACGGAAAATTTTTGACACCAAACTCTTGTTACCAGGCCCTGGTAAGAAAAATAATGGATAAATCCAGTTGCTAAATTTAGAAAAAAATATCCTCTAACACGTGGTGTTTCCATGTTTTGTGGGTCTTTCATGTCGAAAAATCGAGTGACAGCAAAACGTCTGACTGTCCGTCTGTAAACAACGGTAGCTGCTAAACCGTTTTCCGATTATCTCCAAAATTTATTTTCCATAATCGATCTGGCTGATGTCGCGGCCCCTTGAATTTGAAACCGAAATTTTAATTTTCTTACTTAACATGAATCTCCGGGAACATCGTTTTTATTTAAATTTGTTGTTGGATAAATTTTTCGAAGATTGCAAAAATTCAATTTTTTTGGTGTTTTCCTACACCTACCATTATGAATATATTTGTTTCCTTAATAAAATCCGTTCCTGGAAGATAAATTTTGAAATAAAGTCATGTCAATTCTTCGAAAATTTGAATACTTTTTGTGTGAAAGTACGGGTGAGAAATTACGCGCTGTTTTACCGCCACTAGTTCGAAAATTGCAAAAATTCAAAATTTTTTCTGCGTCTTCTTACGACTACAATCATGATATTTCCCCTTCTAATGAAGTGTCAAAAACATCTGCAAATAAGGTCATGTTCAATTTTTCAAAAAATATGAGTAATTGTGCGCCAAACAGGCAATTTTTAAATTTTAAATAATTATTGTCTTTAAAACATCTCTTATTTTTTTCTATCATTTCTCTTTCATGTATGTAGAAAAGAACTCTAAAGGAAGTGGCGCTGTCCCCATTTTTGGAGCGCACAGTATATTTTCGAAAATCTGAACAAAATCGAAATGGTACGTTCGTGAAACTAATGGAAAATTCGTGAAACTAATTTGGAGGCAACTGCTTGTCGGCAGTTGGATATTCTAAGAATCCCTTCTCATTGTTTAACTTAATATTAATAAACTTCATAAATTAACTTATTACTTAATAAATAAATATTGCAAATCTTAGAACATTAGGTTCGAAAACGTATATCTACATTAAGTTGCTAGGTAAATGTATATTGTGGGTTATAAACATGTGAGTAAGTATGTGCTTTCTATTTGCTCAAATGCGCAATATAGAACTGACAAATTCGGAATACTTATTGCTTTGATTATTTATTGCTCATTCAGGGCGTTGAGATCATTCTAATTTCTATTCATCAATATGTTAGTGTAGCGTCGTGCCACGTTCAAAACAGACATCCACGTGGAAATCGGCGAGCATCACCGGATGTTAAACAAAAGGCGGAGTAATGACGCTCAGGGACTTTCCGTTGACGTAGCAGGCCCAGAGCAGCTTTGTGGAGGAGGGAATGGGGGCGGCGGGTAGCGCCAAAGGGGCCTCTATAAGGCCAGGAGAACAATGCCCCAGTCTTCTCGTTCTAGCGGCGTCGGCGACAGGTGAAGCGGGACCTCCGTCAAGCTGCAACCCCCACTTGTTCGAAATTCAAAATTAACTAGCCTATAATTTTGTTTTATACCTAAAAACCATAGTCCCAAAGTGCAAGTCTAAAGATTTCAAAATTGAATTTTGCCTGAAAAGAGTTTTTAAAAAAATCAGAAATTAACGCTAAGTGAATAATTGCACGTTTTGTATTGTTATAGTATGAGCACGAAATTATTTTGTTGCAGTATTGAGTACGATATATGTCAGAAGAATAGTAGACTAGTTAAATTGCAATTTGCAAAGGGGCGATGCATGGCGGACACTTTTGTTTAGAGCGCACGAATTTTTCGTGTTTTTAGACTGTAATCATCTAGTTCTGCGGGACTAGATAAAGATTTTGAAGATATCATATAATGTAAAGTTCACTATATTGTTTAATTGGGCGTTGTGAATTTAAACTTTGAAATTTGACTTAAAATGGTTTATAAAAAAATCAGAAACATGAGTGAAAGTGGCTTCATTGGCACCAGGTTTTAATTGTTTATAGTTGAGTACAAAAGTTTTAATTGTGTAGAAAATTAAGGTACATAATTAGTAGATAATTTAGGCTAGTTGATTTTCAATTTATGAGAAGTGGGGGGTGCTAACGTAACGTAAGCTAGCACCCCCACTTTGGGATGTGGTTTTTTTTATTGCTTTTTTAGTCGAGGACAAACTTTTTAATTGTGTAGAAAATTAGTACATAATCAGCTACACATTAGTAGGCTAGTATATTGATTTCGAAAGAGTGGGGTTGCAGTCTTGACGAGGTTGAAGCGGGGCTGTGCGTGTACGATGCACTAGGGCGAGGGGCCGGCAATTATTGTCGTGACTGCGGA